ACGGGGGAGGGGGGGGGCGTGCTTCACAGTCACCGACCTTGCCTGCCATGATTTCAGCCCATGACGCGCTCCAGAGTCAAAGATCCTGACAGGCCAGGGATTCTCCCCTCCCCCCCCGCCCCGCCCCCGATTCCCCTTCGCGTTCAACTCCCGGGAGCTCAAAAGTTCCTCTGGCTGATCTCTCCGGTGGGAACTGGGGGGGTGGGGTTGCTGCTTTCTCCTTTCTGGACCCTTGCCTGGATCACCTTATTGCTGCTTCCACCCCAGCAGGCGAAGGGAAGCCAAACCAGAATGCGCCTCCCCCCCCCTGGGGGGAGGGAATATGAAGAAGAAAAAGAAGTGGCTCCCCTTTCAGCTCCGGCTAGTGAATCGGATCCCCCCTCCCCAGCCAGCCGAGTTGCCTTAAAAGTAACACCGACTGAAGAGCCGAGGAGGAGGCGACTCACAGGGCAAGAGCCCCGGGCGTCGCGGGCAGCGAGCGGCCAAGGCCACTGGAGTGCGATCTGCCAAAATGAGACCCCTTCCGTGCCAGCGAGAAACCAATCTCGGAGTTTTTAATCTACGTTTCTTCTCAGCAGGGGGCTTACAGGACGCAAATGAGCCGTTTTTATTTCCGTTTGGTTACATCCCAGCCGTAGAAAACAGCAGATGTGTCTATAAGTATCAAACCTGCGCTTTTATAGGGCTGAAACGTAGCACCCGTGGGATGCGGATGGCCCAGAAGGGCGCGCGACCCCCACCTGTCGTTTTGTTCGGTTTTTTAAAAAAAGATTAATACTTCATTGGTTCGTTTTCTCGCAAAGACTTAAGGCCGATGACATTCACCCCTTTTCCAAGGCAACTTCCTCACTAAGAAAATGTTGTTATGTATTACACACGACCGTTCCCCAAATAATACAGAGCAGCTTCGGCGGTCGCTTTCCATCCAGACACGTTTTTAGGGCCAGATGCGCTGACACTCCGCAGCAGGACTGCACCAGACACCTCCGGACCGTTCTCAGAAGTCGGGGCCAGCCCGCGAAGGGGTTACTTTACACGATAAACGGAGGGGGAGAGAGAGAGGACGTGTCTACGTTAAAGAAAATAGTCACATTCTGTGGGTATCCTTCCTTCTCCCCATTTGACCTCTCTCCTTTCCAAGCCAAAGTTCTCTCCTGTTGACTCGCACCACTGCGCTGGGAAAAGTCATTAGAGAAACAATCAACTAGGAAATCCACTTGCCTCGCCCTTTTCAAACAGTTGAAAAGGCTCCGGTCGGTTCTCCCCACCCCCACCCCCACCAGAACATGGCTGCAGTCCTCAGTCCATTTGCACGGGAGTAAGCCCCCACCGAATGACGCGAGACTTATAGCCGAAGAGATCTCTTTGGGGTTGGCTCCTCACGCCACCGGCTTTGCGTAAGAACCGGAGGAACCCTCGTTAATGCGGCCAACGTGAGCGGAAGATGAGATCCCTGCTAGAAAAGAAAACGAATCATTCGCGTCACTGCTGAGAGTACCGGTGGGCTTTCGGGGGCAAACCGACCACCGCCTTTCAGCCACCAGACCAGTCATTCCCCCCCATCACGTGGCTCGAGCTGTTTAAAGTATTTTTCTCAGTCTCCGTGGCTCTGCAGAATCACCATCACACTAAGAAGTGTATTTTGTTTTGTTTTTTTAAAGGGATCAGCGGACACTAATATGAGAGCTATAAATATCTGAGTTCTTGCGTGTCAGTAGCCGAGGCTGATCTCCTCTGTGCTATTTTCTCATCATCGCCAGTTCAGACTCGGAGGTATGGGGGGGGGGAGGCTTTCCACTGCTGGTCACTTCCAGTGGAGAGGAGGTCCCCTCCCAGCGCGTTGTCCTAGATAAAGGTCTCTGGGTTTGTAGGTGCTACAGATTCCTCTTCCTCTGAAGGTTCATGGGTGTGGGGAGGTGCGTGCCTGATGCCTCCTTTTGAAGGCTGAGATTCTCCAGAAATCCCTCCTAGAATCAGAATGTGTAAAAAAGGACCTGGGTATTTCTAAAAACCTAAAGGTCCAAAATTCACCGAAGAGGTGAGACAAAGAGAACACTCCCTAGAATTTATCGTGGACCGGATATTGGGATATGCCGGCCACTAAAGGCCTTTACATTCTTCCCAAAGGTGCAGACAGACTCAGGATGGTCTCAAAGTCGCGAAGCTTCCCCTTAACCTGGTAGTAAAAGGATCTCTCACATCTGTGAGCAGATTTAAAAAACAAAAACAAATATCAGTTAATTATGATTTATGAGTACAGGATTCTTTCTTATGGCGTCTAGGGCGAAAGCCTAAGGCAGAACACATGAGATTAGCTGGCCTTTAGTGAGTTACCACCTCTCAGTTTAGCCTGTGAACCTGGAGGTCGAAAGGAGGCGACGTGGCGGCAGGCAGGCAGGCAGGCAGGCAGGCAGGGCACAGTTATAAAACAGGATAGCCCCGCAACCTGTGACTGAAAGGATATACCACACCTTGCCAAAGCGATATCTTTGTATCGAGCCACTTTCAGAATGATTCCGCATGTATTAAAAATGTGAGCCAATGTGAGCGATGTGGGCCAATTCTTGCTTTCAGCAAAGCTTTGCTTTTTGTAGTCAGAGTTCCAGTCGAGTCACCGAAGAAGAAAAGGGAGGCCAGGAACAGACCGACCCATTCGTGTGTGTGTGTGTGTGCTTATAAACAGGCCATACAAATCTCTTTCGTCTCTTCGGAACTTTATTGTCAAGCGCGAAAAGGGCAGGCCTCTGGAGAGGGGGCC